TCTACAAAAAAAAATATCGATACACGTACATTATATGAAAATATCAGTTCATATTATTTTGTCAAAGTTACGGTAATCTATTATGTTAATTTTATAAGAAAAATTGAAATAAAAATTGAAACCCACGCCTAAACACCAATGTATTAGCATGCACATTACAGAAAAAAGTACATCGTATATTAATTAATTTTTCAACAATTTTCCTACAAAAAAAAAAAAAGAACAGTTATGAAATAGCCTAAATAAATTTGCTCATGTTATACCATATATTGATTAATTTATTTCCTATAGAAACAACCATCAATACCAAAAATAAATTCGTCCACTATATACCATGTATTAATTAATTCACATAATTTGAGTAATTAAGGTATCTTAGAATATGGTTTAATTACTTCCTTAAATAATGAGCCGCAATTACCATATGTGATCATTTGAAATATACCATAAATTGTTAAATTAATTTCTCGAAATAGCAAATAATTTTATGTGGAGGAAAATAGTTACTATTTAAAAAATAATCATACCTTTTTATATATACTAGTACGAATCATGTGCGATGCACGTAAGAGATATTGATTAATATTTATAAATTAAAATTTTTTATTAAATAATATTTATAAATTAAAAAAAATGAATCAATATGTAATACAATGTACCTATATCATTTATTGAAAATGTTATATATAATTTAAATTGTACAAAATTATATAAAAATGTCTATTTAAAATTAGTACACATCTCGTGCATTGCACATAACTGATAATATATTATATTATATTTATTTCAAAATATGTGTCATTTCAAAAATTTTATTCAGAAATTTAATTTGACAATAACGTGATTCCATGGAATAATTATTTTGGTAAAATTTTATCATATTCTAAAAACCTATGTGAATAATAAGTATAAGTATAAAACTTATATTGTTTAATTAATTAAAATAAATTTATTTTTGTATAAAATATCCAAATAAAAAAATTTAAGTAGTTGAGTGAAAACAATCAGTCATAAGATTTTTTATGCCAAAAAAAATCAACAACCTTTATCATGCTAAAAAAATGAACAGTGCATTTCACATAAAAAAAATTATTTGAAATGTCGTAACAAAATGAATTAAATCGAGGTCCAATAATTATACAAAAAAAAAGACCAAAGCATTTTCTATAAAAAAAAATATCGATATATGCACATTATATCAAAATATTAGTTCATGTTATTTTTTTCGGAGTTACGGTAATTTATTATGTTAATTTCATACGAAAAATTGAAATAAAAATTGAAACCCACGCCTAAAAACCAATATATTAGCTTGCACATTATAGAAAAGAATGCAACATATATTGATTAGTTTTCAACAATTTTCCTACAAAAAAAGAGTTATCAAATAACATAAATAAAATTTCTCACTTTATACCATATATTGATTAATTTATTTCCCATAGAAACAACCACCAATACTAGAAATAAATTCATCCACTATATACTATATTATAATTAATTTACATGATTTGAGTAATCAAGGTATCTTAAAATATGGCTTAGTTATCTCCTTAAATGAGCCGTAATTTCAATAAGTGATCATTTGAAATATACCATAAATTGTTAAATTAATTTCTCAAAATAGTAAATAATTTTTTTTTGGAAGGAAATCCACTCTATATATAATTTCAGAAATTAATTTAACAACTTATGGAGGGGATTTCCTTCCAAGCCTAACTCCAAAGCATGAGCTTCGATTTGACATCCATATTGTATATATAAAATAAATATATTATATTTATATTTATAATAATATTAAAATTATTTATTAAAATTAATTAGAAAATAAAATTATTTATCATTTAATGTACGGGTGTTTAATTATTATGATTAAAAAATATAATTTGACAATTTAATTAAAACTCAAAGTAATGTTTTATATAAAATTAAATTATTTTAGTTTTTAAAAAAATAAAAAATTTAATTTTTTACAGAAGTTTTCTAATTCAACATCTGTGTAATACACGGGTATTGTATTAGTAGTTACTATTTAAAAATAATCAAACCTTTATATATATATATATATATATAGAATTTGGATCATATGAGAAAGGGAGTTGGTGTAAGAAATAAGAATGAATCTGAACCATGGGATTAATCATATCAATGGGTATGATGAAGTCAAACTATAGTCAATCATTAATGGCATTCTGGTAATTATTTGATCATAGTGTGGTCAAACATGTGCATTTGACCAATAATTAGGGATAATATAGACATTTTATTCAAACCTAACAACAAGTGGGACCCACCACCCACATTAATACCTCCACAAATATCGTGCCTACCCTTTACCCACCTACCCTCCCTCTCTCTCACCTACAAACTCTCTCCCCCCCCACCTGCACACACACAAAACTCACATACAGTTTCGCAAATGGCCACCGACCACCCACCTGCTGCCACCAGACCCCGTCTGCCGCCACCATCTACCCGCCGCAGCCATGGTCGCCGTCGTCCTTCATCTACAATAGCCTCCATCGATGTCCTTTCTGCCGTGCCGGAGTTCTGCCGCCATAACAGCCTCCGTCGCTGATGCCGCCATCTCGCAGCAGCGATCTCAGGCCCCGCCGCCGCCATCGGAGCATCCCAGTCGCAGATCGTGTCCGTCGTCAGCCCAGAATGTCGCTGGATCCATCTTCGTCACCAACACAAATTCAGCGGCCATCGACCCAGAGACCGCCACCGCCGTCAGCTACAGTCGCCACCGTCAATTTGATTTCGCCGTCGACAGGATATGATATGCCGGCACCCACGCGTTAGCTCGACCTCTCATCCGCCTTCGTCAAATGAAGAGCACCTGAAGCCCTAACCCCCAAATCCACTCTCTTGTTAATTGAAAATTATATCGGAGATGTTATGGGATTCTGTGAAGACATCTGTGAGAGAGCAGATGTGCCGGGAGTCTGTGAAACGGGGCAAGAGCGCGAGAATTGAAGGGCTTGTTTGAGGAATTGACTGTATTTTGAAGGGCTGCTTGTTGAGAATTGAATACATTTCAAGGACTTGTTTGCAATTTTATAAGTTTAATATATTACAATTTAGGTCTTAGGTCAAATTTGCAATTAATGAAAAAATAATTAGTATTTTAATCCTTTTATATTTTATTTGCTGAAAATAAAATGATAGTTTGCTTAAAGATATAAAAAATAGTAATATATTTTTTTTATATATATTAGACGTTCGGTAAATTCTATTATTTAAATAAAAAACGACATCGTACGAAATACCTGTGTTTTAAGAAATGAAAATAATAATAATCAAATTGGAATATATTGAACAATAAAAAAATAGAATTTATATGGTGCAACATGTTGTGTTATAAGATGCAACATATTACTGTATAAAGTGCAACATATTAATTTTGGTACGTTAGCATTTTTATGTTTTTTTAGATAGATGATATGATAAAGTGCAAAGTATTGTTTTATAAAGTGCGATATTCCGTTATATAAAGTGCACTATCTAATTTATACATTCTCATATAAATTATGTATAAATTATGTGTATAATTTACATTGAATTAACCTAAATAATTAAAATAGATTTTTAATTATTATTATTTTTATTATAATTTATTTATTATTACCAAATATTTTTATATTATTGTGTATATTATAAAATACGTTTTATATTTTATTATTTATATTTAATAATTTATAATATTGATAGTTGAAAATATAATAAAAAAATATCAAAATCTATAAAGTGCAATCGAGCAGACAATAATGTGCAATCCATCTAACATTATTGTGCAATCAACCGATCGAGTATTTTTTATGTGTTTCAAATTTATAAAATTCAATAACGTATATTTCAATTATAATTATTTTTTGCATTTATCAATTTTTTTATATCGTAAAAAATATATTTAGTATTTATATTTTTTATTTAATATTTTATATTATGGTTTGTTAATGAATAAATAATACATATAACTAAAATTTTAAAAGTAAATTGAAATCGAACTAATGTGCATTATTTTCATGCGGTGTCATTACCCGAAAATACATTATTATGCTAATGTGCATCTTTGAATGAGTTAATGTGCAATTAGTCTTATACTAATGTGCATTCGCCATAACGTTATTTTTTAATATGAATATTCGTACACGTATTATACAATATACTCATCAATATTTTGGATTTATCATATTTAGATATCCATACGAAATATCATGTATTTTATTTACCAATATTTTTATTTTATAAATTTTTCATAAATTACATATTCTACCCATGTATTTCGAATTGTTAATAAAAAAAATTAATTTGTGAAGTTAAAACATATGAATTGTAATTCAAAATTTGAAATTTTTAGGTTGATAATGAAAAACAATGATTTGTTAATTTTTTTTCTTTCAATTAAAAGCTATTGAGATTTGAACACAATGAACATTGGGATTAAAAACTATTTTGTCCTAACAATTAAAAACTGCACATTGAGATTAAAAACTACATTGAGATTAAACACTATTTTGTCCTTTCAATTAAAAACTGCACATTGAGATTTGGAAAAATAAAGTGCAAAACTACACATTGAGATTTGAAAATATAAAGTGCACCAGGTTGCTCAGCAACACACAAATCGAGCACCAATTAAAAAATGAAAAGAAACTGTACACAAAATTAAAAATGGAAAATTGAAAGTTTATATAATTTCAAATTTAGCATAGGGGCAAAAATTGAAATATGATCAAATTTTTTAAAATTGCCAATAAGCCCTTACACATTATCAAATTTTCAAAAAATCCCTAAATTGATGTTCGGTCTATTTTCCGGCGAGTTGGCCTTTCCCAAGGTTTTTCCGGCGAGTCGGCCTTACACATTAACATCGTTGTGTGTGTGTGTGTGTGTATTTTCCGGTGGGAGTGTCGACTGCCATTAGGACGTGATTTCCCGATCAAAGCTTCAGTTTTTCAGGACGTCGGCGTCGTGTTCCGAGCGTACGGCAGCGCATGCGGCGGCTGCGAGCGTCAGTGGCGAGCTGCTCAGACAGTCGCGGCGGTTCTGTGCGGGGTGGTCGGAAGTACGGCGTGAGTTTTCCGGTCGACTTTAGTTTTTCAGGACGTCAGTGTCGGGCTCTGAACGTACGTCAACGTATGCGACGTCTGCGATCGCCGGCGGCGCGGCGCGGCGCTGTGGGGCGTTTAGCCGGAGGAATAAGAAGATGTGGCCGGGAATATGACGGAGGATGATTTTCTGGCGTGAATCGGCGATATAGGACTTGATGGCGGCGGCACAAGGCGGTGGAACGACGGCGGCGGCGCCTCTCGAGGAGGCGGACGGAAGATAGTGGACTGTGACTGTGTGTGTTGCATAAGTTTGTGTAATTGTGAGAGAGAGAGTGACGGGAGAGATAATGGTGTGAGAGATGGGTTGTTGGGGTTGGTGGCAGTTGGGAGTGGGGCCACCTGGTTGATTATGGTGTTAAATTTACTGTAATACCCTTAATGAAAATATATTTTGGTATTTTTATAATCCGTTGGATCATGCGATCTAAGGGCTACGATGTATTCTTATTTCTTTCACTAAGCACCATTCTCACCGGAGCGTGACCCTATATATATATATATAGAGAGAGAGAAGGGATCATATGAGAATGGTAGATAGTGAAAGAAATAAGAATGATTTTGGATCATTAAATCCATCAAGTCAATGGACATGATCAAGTCAATATTAATAATAACAGTCAAATATTCCATGGCAGTCTTGTAAATATGTGGTCTTATCATAGTCAAATATAAGCATTACCCCACTTAGTAGGGACAAATTAGATATTACACATCATTTATCAATCACTTGTGGGCCCCAGACACAACACGTTACCCATCTCTTTCCCTCTTTCCCTCTCTCACACACTAACACACACGCACTCAACCCACCCACACACACAGTGACACCCCCGGCCGCCGACTGCCTCATCAACTCTCCCGCCGCCGCCGGACGTCCTCAACAGCCTTCCCGCCGTCAACGGACTTCCTCGTCGGACTTTCCGCCGCCGCCGGACTTCATCATCATCCTTCCAGCTGCCGTCGGAGTTCTTCATTAGCCTCCCCATTGCTGCTTACACCACATCGTCGATCCCTTCGCTGGCCCCTGCCAGAATCAGCCCCACCACCGCCTCGTCTTCACCGCTTGTGAGTCTCCCGCGGAAATCGGAAATCGCTCCAATCTTGGAGCCGACGAATTAAACCCCAAATTTCACCGGCAACCGGAAATCAATATTCAGCCGTCAATTCCGTCATCGCCACCACCGTCAGACGAGAAGTACGCAGGAACTCCGACGTTTCATCCCGAAGTCTGGAAATTCAGATGGATGAGCAAGAAAGGGGATATACACGGGGAAGAAAGCAGACCTGGGGGTTTGATTGTTGGAATGGCAGAACATAATTGAGTGCCTGGCCCTTCTCACTATAAGAAGACTGTCCCTGAGGTTGAGCTGCGTTTTTCTTTGTTTTCCTCATAATCTCAAAAATTGATTTGTGCTAGTTCTTGTGACCAGGAAACTCTGTCTCTCTCTCTCGCATTGATTGTATGTGTTGGCTTTTATTAGTCCTATTTTGGGAATTATGATCACAAGGCCCTTATTTGTAATGTTTGAAAAATATATAAGAACATATTATTTTTTTTACATAGTTCGATCGATTCCGTCATTTTAAAAAATAAAATTGACATCGAACCAAAATAACCGAAATTTTAAATGCACCAAATGGATAGTCAAACTAAAATATAAATTTTGTATCCAAATTTTTAGTCTGGTTGGTTTCGATCGTTATAGTGCAATATGTCACTCGCTAAGGTGCAATTCGTTTAATACTAATGTGCACTCGAAGTACGATTATTTTTTTAATTATTTGTCACAATCCAGAGTAAGACTGAAATAATTGGTTTATTTGACATAATTAATTGATTTATTTAATTAAATTAATCGAATTATCCTAAATAATCAAAATAATTTGTAATTTATATTACAATTATATTTAATATGTTAATAATTTTACTTATTATTCTCATATTATTTTTGGTTGAAAATTTGTGAGTCCGGTCGGTTTCGATCTCTATGTGCAATGTGTTAGTCGTGATAAAGTGCAATTTATTGTTTTGTAAAGTGCAATGTACTGTTTTATAAAGTGCAACGTGATGATTTATAAAATTTAACTACTGTAGTTTTCATATATTATCATACTTGTGTTTTGTGTGGATAATGATGTGATTGATTTTAAAGTATTTTGTTTATCTGTTTTTTAGATTTACGTTGTGCGGTGTGTTGATAGGAGTTGTCGACGTTAATTGTCTATTGTAGTGATAAAGTGCAACGTGTTGTTTTATAATGTGCAATCTGTTGTTTTATAAAGTGTATCATACTGATATATAGAGTGCACTACTTTATATGCTCACATATAAATTATGTATTCTTGAAAACTATACTTTTTTAGATATAATTGTACATCTAACTAACGAAAATAATTGAAATAATTTATTATAAAAGTATATTTATTATTTTTTTTTTGTGCAAATCAAAATGAAATCGAACAGTTATTTTTTTTGGTTAATCAAATTTACCTAAATAATCAAACTTATTATTTATATTATATAAATATATTAAGTATGTTAATATGTCTATGCAATATTTTATATTATTTTTTATGCTAATTCAACTTGAAATTGAGCCGAAATAATTGAGTTAATTTGTTGGTTAATCAAATTAACCTAAATAATCAAACTAATTTATTATTTATATTATAAATACCTAAAATGTATATAAATATATATATATATATATATTTGTAACAAAATAATTTTTTTTTATATAGTTCGATCGGTTTATTTATAGTAAACAATAAAGTCGACATCGCACCAAGATAACAAAAAATTTTAAAAGTAAACACAAATAATCGAAGCAAAACATACAGTTCGAACCCAAAACTTTGTGTGTCCGTTTTGATTGCTATAGTGCAATCTGATAGTCACTAATGTGCAATTCGTGTAACATTAATGTGCACTCGAAGCGCAACTATTTGTATAAAAATAAATTTAGTATTTTAATATTTTTATTTAATATTTATATTATTTGTGGTTGAAAAAATATGATATATAGATATGTATAAAAGTATAAAAATATATATATAAATAATACCTTTTATATATTTTAAATAAATTACAAATTTGATTCATGGGTTAAATCGAACTATATCAAAACTCTTGAAATTTTAGTTAAATTATAAATTTGACCCTAAGAACTAAATTATAATTTAAATAAAATTAATGATATTGCAATTTAAACCCTTGAGGCCTTGAGACTTATTCGAAATGAAAATCTCAGATCTGCTCTCCTTCCCAAATTCTTCGCTAGCCAAAGACGATCCGCCCGACTCTTCTCAGAAAATTGTTGATCTTGTATTCATCGAATTTTGGCCGTTATCTTTCTGTTCTTGCCGACATTAACTGAGATCAACGGCGGCGTCGGTGAGTTTCTCCATGGGTGGCCGAATTTCAGCCTCCAGAGGTAGAAGGCGGCGTTGATTGGAGCAGTAATCGGAGTTTTGGGGGCGGTGGGCGGAGGAGAAGACGCGGTTTCCGGCGGCGGCTTTGATTGGAGAGGGTAAGGGACAAGATGCGATTTTCTGGCGGGCGGAGTGGCCCCTGATGAGCGCCAGGTGCGGCGATGGAGTTTGCGGCCGCCGGAGAAGTCGGGGAATGGCGGATCCGGGTTGGGTTGGATGGCGGTCGACGGTGTTGGATGGTACTATGTGTATTTGTGTCTGTGTGTGCAGGGAGAGAGGGCGGAGTTGGTGGAGGTTCAGCTGGAACTTCAGTCGTGCTCGTCGCGGAGGGTGGCGGAGGTGGTCGGCGGGACAGTGAAGACGGCGATTGTCGGTGGTTGGATGAGTCCGGCGGCGGTAAGTGGCTGTGTATGTGGTAGCCGGCGGAGGGGACGGGCCGTGACTTTGTGTGTGTACAGCGTATGTATAAGTCGTGTGTGTGTGTGTGGGTGGGTCATGTGTTTGTGTGTGTGCCGGTCGCCGGTGTAGTGTGTGTGAGTGTGTGTGTGTGTGTGTGCGTAGGTCGCCGGTGTAGTGTGTGTGAGTGTGTGCGCAGAGTAGTATGTGTGAGTGCGTGAGAGAGATGGAGAATGTGGGGTATGTGTCACGTGTGTGCGTGTGCGTGTGACAGAGCTGGTGGTGGGTTTGATAGTGGGGCCTGGGTAGTTGACAAAATGTCTAAAATATCCTTAATGAACATATAATATTGACTTTCTATTTCACCGGTAGATCATCCGATCTAATGGCTCTGATTTATTCTTATTTCTTTCATTGAGAACCATTCTCACCGGAGCGCGACCCTATATATATATATATATATATGTATAGCTATAGATAAGTTATTTTAATTTGTGAAGTATTTCCTTCCCTTAATTTCGGTCCGCAAATGGTAAATCTAATCAATAAATAAATAAATAAATAAAAATGGTAAGCATGTATGGCATCACTTTATAGTTAATTTATAATAGCTGCATATTTCATTAAATATTTCAGGTCTTATATGTAAGTTTTAACTACTAAAGAATTGTACTATCAGTTTCCAGAACCAAATTCTGTAGTAGTTAAAACTTATATATAGGACCTAAAATATTCTAGGTCTTATATGTAAGTTTTAACTACTAAAGAATTGTACTATCAGCTTCCAAAACCAAATTCTGTAGTAGTTAAAACTTATATATAGGACCCAAAATAGTTAATGAAATATGCAACAATTATAAATTAACTAATAAAGTCATGCCATACATGCTTACGGCATTTCTAATACTAATTCTGATAATTCTATAACTTGGTCCTGTAGTTCTAAATAGCTAGGTGACACATGAATTTGACCATCTAAAGAGTATTTTGTTATTTTTTGGCACCAAATCTTTGAAAATTCCTTACTACTTAATCTATATATGTAACTGTAGGCTATTCAATTATTGTGNGGGTTGGTTGAGCCTAGGGATGGCTTTGCAATTGGTATCTCTTTTCCCCTTCTCTTTTGGTATTATTTATTTATATCTTTTTTTTTTTTTTTCGAAACGATAGATGTATTATATAAATGGGCACAAATGTGCAAAAGTACATCCACCAGCTGAATACAGACAACCAACAGCCGAATAAAATGGGAAGACAGGTCAAAAGACCGCCTAGAACCGACCTTAATAGGGTAATACTAATATTCTAGAACACAAAACACAACCGACCCTAAACGCTCCCAAAGGGAGAATGAAAAGAACAAAAGAAAAAGAAAAAGAAACGGCCCCAACAGGGTAATGTCCGAGTGTGGGATCCCAACAGGATAATAAGGTCACACTCGAGCTCACAGAGGCCAACGGCCCAAACTAAAAACACAAGACGGAACAAACAAACAAAACAAATCAAAAGCAAAACACTACAAAGAACACAAAACAGAAACAACCCTCCCTCAGCAGAGACATCCGAGATTGACAACAGACAAAGCCGACTCCGAGGAGAGACCCAAAGCACCGGAACCTCGCCCCAGCCTAAAGCCTAGCAAGACGAAGACCCGAGCCCCAAAAACAATCCGAAAATTCAACCCGCACTCCAGCCGTAGGAAGTCACAACCGCCCCTCAACCAGCTAATACCACTAGCCTAGTCCGACACCTCCCCGAAATCGTCTAACACCACTAGCCGATTCCAGAGACTGTCGGCCTCCCTCGGCCACAAAGTCAGCGACACAAGGGAGGTAAGGGGTACGGAGCAACCCAGCGTGGCCACTCCGACACAGCCCGAACGGACGACCGGCTCACCTCCCAGCCCCAAAGACGAACCACTTCCCATCTCCTCAGCTTCACCAAAATACCTGCGACCGAAAGTCGCGAGTCAACTGGCAGAAACCAAAGAACTGCAGAGAAGCCGCCGCTGAACCTGGAGAGAAGAGACATCCCGACACAGCCACGACGCAGCGACCCCAGCCACGACCACCCGCCGGCGCCGCGCTACACCGATCACCAACACCCCGACATCCCGACCGCCATCGCAGAGAACAGGGATTCTGACGAAGAATCGGCCAGAATCCCACGGCGTGCGACAATCGATGAGACCCAGCGCCATGGACTACCGGCGGAGCACCGTCCACCGGCAAACTCTGACGGCAGCTAAGGGAGGCAAACCGGCAATTTTGTTAGGGTTTTGTTGATTTGGGAAAAAGGGGTAAGAGAAGCGAGAAGGGTTTTTAATTATTGCGGTTAGTATACCTTTCCTTTTCAAACCATTTTGAACTTAATAAGGCAATTTATTATTAATTAAGTTTCATCATATTCTATTCATTACTAGTAATCAACCTGTGCATTTGAACAGAGAAGAATACTTTAAAAAGATAACAATATTAAAAAAATAAAAATAAATCATAATTTAATTCATGAAAAAAAATATGAATTAAGAAAATAATTTTCAAAATTGATTTTGATCAAGTAATTGCTATGGAAGAGCTGTGACAACCATTTTCTTTATTCTAATACACCCGGCCATTTTCATGAGTGGGTGAATTAAAATTTAAGTACAGTTTTGTAACTCTCTTAATTGGTTTATGCTCATAATTTATGGCATTCAAGCAAGTTATTTTGTAACCTAAAAATGAAATTGAATGCTGAAAATTTTGGAGGGAGAATAAAATTTAATGCATGAGAATAAAATAAATGCTTTGTTGCTCCTTTATATATATATATATATATATATAGATTCTATATTACAATAGTTATTACTAAAACCAACTAATTGTAATTCAACACTAAATGGTATATGTAAGTTACATAATCATCTAAAAATTATACTACATTTTTGTCAAGCTATTAATTCTAAAAGTAATATTAGTTTTTTAATTATATAATTAATTTAATGGCATGAAAAAACCCCTGAAACAATTCCTCATAACTATTATTGTTTCAATATTTTTCTTGGTAATTAATTGGTCATGATCTATCAATCTAACAAAAAATGTGCTATGTGTTACATTTTATGCAATATATAGATTCTTTTGTTAAATATTTATATTTATATTGTTCATTTATTAATAATCAAATTTAAAAAATGTGATATATACATTATCTATTTTATAATTTGAATATTATAAATACCCTTATCCACACATCGAACAAGAGGAAAGTTGACCAGCGAACTTCCAGGTAGCACAACCGAACCCGATTATTGCAATTGCTCAGGATACCCTTTTTAGCTTCTAGGGTCTATTTCTTAGCTCAAGATCCCCGATAGGGCGGTGGTCGGAGAGCAGGTCTTATGAGGGTCCGTTCCCGCTGACGTTCATATATTATCTTATATAAGATAAGCGGATTGGTGTGGAACTAGGGAGTGGAACTGTAAACCTCGGTAGGGCTAAAGGGAGGGTGCTGGTGTTACACAACATCGCACACCCTAGTATGCTCGAAAACCCTCCCGTCACCCTCGCTCCGGTCATGACCACGGTCGACCCAGGCGTCGATCCGCCGGGCATCGCTGCCACGGAATTCCCCACAATTGGACAATCCCTTGCTCCAGCCCCCAAACGCTCTAGACTCCTCCTAGTAACCCTCCCCGAAATCCATGGAGGTGCTCTTGAAGGCATGGCGTGCTTTCATTACACGCGAGTCAATTTACACCAGTTTTTCTGTTCGGCCGCGCACTCTTCTATAGCCTACCCATAGGGAGGGAGACCAAATGCTCTCAGGGTCGACATTGGCTTTGGTGAGTGATCCACACTCCAACCATGCTCAACACTACAACCCCGCACAACAGACAAAACATTATGTTGGACTTTAGTCTCCAATACAGCGAGTTCCACTTTTTTTTTGGCATTGGTTCACGACTGCGCTTTCCAAGGTAATAGTTTATAATAGTTTGTTAATTTATATAAATCTGTGCATGTGCACAAGATCAACTAATCAGGCTGATTCTACGCCTTCTTCTTTATACCATCTTCTGCTCACCTACATGTGCATGTACTAAATTGCCCCACATATTTTGTAATTTTACATTTTTGTCATTCCAACATTATCTAATGTCACATATTAGAGCCAAATTATGGAGTAGTCAAAACTTGTATATAGGACTTAATTAAAAAATACATTATATTCCAGTTAATGAATGCATAAACAAGGAAGATAGTTAAAATTACCCTAGCAATTAGCCTCTCAAAGGCTTCTGGCCCATTTTCTTCTATGTATTTCTCAGCAGCAGTCAGGACATCATCAGGCTTGCCGAAATTGTCCTCTTTCATTCCTTGGAAAATACCACAATTTAACTTGTGGGTTTTTGTAAAATGGCCTTATAAAATGCTCGTACACATAAGCTGCCCCGTTGAAATCGGGCAGTACCAACCAACACACACCAATTAGCTTTGCGTACGACCAAATTGCAAACCTTATCACCATCACAATCAAATAATTTTGATCAACAATTCCCATGCATTATATATTCTGTTTCTTTATTTATTTCAAGCTATATAAGAGTTGCATAAATAAATTTATATATTGCAATGGATAAGCATAACTGGCCATAACTATTGGATAGTGTTGGAAGTGCTCATGCAAATAATTCAGCTCATATGATGACCATGCAAAATGGAGCACTCTCATGCACAAGGACGAGCAGATATAACAAGTGTGGTGAACAAGGAAAAGATTCCTCTCATGTCATGCATGATGCATGCACGACATCAGCCAATCAGAGGCGGAGGGACATGTATTTTGTCCTGGGTTGTAGCCTGGGTAAGCCATCTGCATATACATATTGCAAATACAAATTGCTTTTTTACTCAAACCATATTTATAATGTATTAGAAAAAACCACATATTGTTAGTATAAAATTTATTGGCCTTTCTTATATTTTAGCCTAAGTTCAAATAGTTATATCCAAAGTATATCTATAAATCTAAAACATCATGTAATAATCACCTCAAATTAATATTGATGTCAATTTTTGATTTTGTTTCGTTTTAATTTTACTGTTTGAATGTTTACGTTTTGGGCTTATTTTTTTATTTGATAATAAAAGAATGTGGTTTTAATAGCTTAGTTTATCTAAACTTTGCTCATTTTAGTTTCCTTATTTATTTTGATATGTGAATATATTTATAATGAAAAGCTTCTTGAACATACACTTAAATAGATATGGTGTTAGGCAGTCATACTATCTAAAAAAATCGTACTTATATTATACACAATGTTATATATACTTTTCTACAATGTAATTTAAAGTATGTCATTTGAGTGTGACTATATGTAAATTCTCTCGGGTGAGTGTCGATTTCTCTCGGGTGGGAGTTCAATCTGTTGTTTGCGAGTCGATCTTGTGATATCGCCAGTGTTTGGTAGTGTGGGGATTTTTCTAGGGTCTGTTATCGAGGGTTAAGTAAGGCTCGTGGCCCTGTGTAGGGTTTTGGGGGCTTCCCATTTCATTGGGCTCTGATGGGTGACAATCCACCTGGGGATACATCAAGGGGTTATGTGGAGGAGGGAGTGATGCGAAAGCTTCTCAATATGTCCTTATCTGCTACGGAAGCTGGAGAAGTGGAACTCAAGGAAGACGATATTAAGTCTAGTGAAGAGAAATGCAGGCGTAGTCTATTTGGTAAGATTGTAGGGGATAGACACGCAGGTTTGTTGGGTATTAAGAGGACGATGGGCCTTATTTGGAGAATGCAGAACTCAATGGAGGTCAAGGAAATCAGTGACAACTTCTTTCAGTTCATTTTCCTATCCCAAGATGATATGAAGAAAGTGGGGTCAGGGAATAACTGGATGTATGAAAATCAATATCTGATATTGAAAGAGTGGTTCCCAGGTCTGCATAGGAGGCATAGTTGCTTTGAGAAAATCAATTTATGGGTGCAAATTATTAATGTACCTTTAAATTGGATGAGTACAGACGTTGGTGTTAAGATAGGTCAAATTTTTAAAAAGGTTAAGAATTCCATTGTCTGTAAAGTAGCGGGAGATGTGGGCAGCTTCATCAAAATCCTGGTTGCAATTGACATAAATAAATCTATTCCTCGATGTACTTCAGTCAAATTGGGGAACGAGAAAGTTATGGTTGCTTTCAGGTATGAGAAACTCGTGAATTTGTGCTATTATTGTGGTATGATTGGTCATTTAGAAAGAAATTGTAAGAAGAGGGAAGAAGACTTTGAAAATAACTGTGTGATAGAAGGACAATATGGTGACTGGATGAAGGTCACTGAAACATTTGGTGGGGGCAGGAGCTCTTTTAGTGCTCACTCTGAGGAGAAGGACACCAACCCTAAATCTAAGGTCAATCAAGATTCAAGGGTATCTGATAACTTGACACCTGTAATGGCTCATACTGGTAATGCTCAGAGTCCTGGCCTCATGGAAAACAGACTCCAATCCATAGATCCCAAATTAGCAACCAGCTAAGAAGTGGACATGACAGTGACCCAACAAACTGGTGCAGAATTGAAATCGGTGGGAAGGGAGTTAATTGCTGAGAGGGATATTGGGGTGCTAATGGAAATTGAAGAACCCCAACAAGGTGTGGAGATTAGCCAAGTAGAGACAGTGGCACATGAGTGTTCTTATAATCTGAGGAAGAGACCTGTCTCTATGTGGAAGAGGAAAACACCAGCCAAGTCTAGCAAATACCAGGGTGTTGTGGTCTCAGAGGGAATCAATCTTCATAGCCAATTGAAAAGAAGTAGAGACCTGGTTATTCATGAGGGTCTGCAAAGAAGGAAGGAAGGGGAACCCAGTGACAAAAAACAGAAAGGGATCAATGTCCAATATTTGGTGGAGAAGGCCAGCCACAATTGGCCCCAATGTGATCAATGAAGGCCATGGTGTGGAACTGTAGAGGACTGGGTGGGCCCTCTACAGTGTCCCAGATCAAGGATTCCAGAAGAATCCACCACCCAAATATTATATTCTTATCTAAACAAAGAAAAATAGAGTATTTACTACTACTGTGTGCAGGAAACTTGGCTTTCAATCCAGGTGGCACTTGGTGGATCCAATTGGCTCCAGAGGTGGATTGCTGTTGCTCTGGGACTCTCAGATGAAAGTGAACCAAATCTTGGGAAATGATTTTTGTGTGCAAGTGGAGGTTAAAGGGGCTGGGATTGAAGATTGGTGTTGGATGGTGTTTTTGTATATGAGCACTGACAGAAAGGAGAGATGTAGACAATGGGAATTCCTAGAGCAGAGGAGAAGTGGTTGGGGTGAAGGGTGGGTGATTGCAGGGGATTGGAATAATTTGGTGTCAAATGAAGAGAAGAGAGGTGGTCTGACTAGGAGTCCATGTAGCTTTGTGGGTTTCCAGGAATTTATCAATAACATGGAGATGCAAGAAGTTGCTCAAAAGGGATCCTTTTTCACCTGGGGTAATAATAGAGCTGGGGATGGCTATGTTGAACAGAGACTGGACAAAATTTTTGCCTCTTTGGATTGGTTGGCTCGATTTCGTAGGATGGAGGCCTCAAATTACTTTAGATCTGCCTCAGACCACAATGTGTTGCTGTTTGATACTGAACAAGAGCTGCATAAAAGGCATAAGAGATTCCAATTTAATAGTGGCTGGGTGGAGATGGAGGGAATTTCGGAGGCTGTTAGAGAAGGGTGGCAGATATGTGTGGATGGCTCAGAATTATTCCAGGTGCATCAGAAGATTAAGCATACTAGAATGGCTTTACTTGCCTGGCACAAACCACACCACAGGAATCAAGAACGGATTATCCAAGTCCTGTCTGAGAAGATGGCTGCTATGAGGAATGAAGGGAAGGATAGAGACTGTGAACAGTGGGGAGCTGTGAAAAGTGACCTAGACAATGCCCATCATGAGGAAGAACAGTATTGGAGGAGCAAGTCCAGAGCCCTGTGGCTCAAAGTTGGGGATTGCAATTCTAAGTACTTCCATGCCTTTACCTCTCAGAGAAGACATGTTAACTCAATCACAAAGCTTACCAGCTGCTTAGGGGAGGTGTTTACCACTCAAGAGGCCATTTAAAATCACATCTCTAATTTTTATTCTGAGTTGTTTGCTTCAGAAGGTTCAAGGGGGGGTGAGGAGCTGCTTCAACATATTCCTTTTTCTATTTCTGATGCTGTTAATTCTGATTTGGTGAAAGCTGTATCAGAGGAGGAAATTAAAGCTGTGGTGTTCAGTTTAGCCCCTAAGAAGGCACCTGGTGATGATGGTATGACAGCTATCTTCTTTCAAAAATTCTGGCACATTATTAAAGATGATGTTTGTAGAGCTATTTGCAGCTTTTTCTCATCTGGCCATATGTTGAAAAATTTGAAGCATACTATTATCACTCTGATCCCTAAATGCATGTATCTTGAAACTCTGAAAAATTATAGACCCATCAGTCTATGTGGGGTGCTGTATAAGATTATTGCCAAACTGTTGGCTGATAGGTTGAAGCCTTGTCTGGAGGTGTGTGTTAGTAATGCTCAAACTGCTTTTGTGCCTGGTAGACTCTTGCTTGATAATGTGGTTATTGCACATGAAATTTTCCATTATCTCCATAGACATAGTTCTGGACCCCATGTGTTTATGGCTCTCAAATTGGATATGGAGAAGGCTTATGACAGGGTTGAATGGGAGAGTATTAGGAGAGTGATGGGAAAGATGGAGTTTCATTTTATAATTATTCAGTGGGTGTTAAGTTGCATTGCTTCCCCTACCTTTTCTTTTAATCTGAATGGCAAAGTGTGTGGCTATGTGACTTCATCCAGGGGCATTAGACAGGGGGATCCATTGTCCCCCTATCTTTTTATTCTGATTTATGAGGTATTATCAGCCTGCTTATCACATAAATTATCTGCCGGTGAGTTCAGAGGCATTAATATTTCAAAAGATGGCCCCATGATATCCCATTTACTGTTTGCTGATGATGCACTAGTATTCTGTAAGGCTGATGAATCTCATGTGCTGTTGTTGTTGGATATTGTTGCTAAATATCAGCTATTTACTGGTCAGAAAGTTAATTTGAGTAAGTCCTTCTTATTCTTGAGCAAAGATGGGACTTCTGATGGTAGTAATAGGTTGTCTGCTTTGTTGGAGGGGGTTGAAATTAAAAGATCATCTAGAGATCTGGGCCTACCCCTTGGGATTGTGGCCTCTAGAATTGATACTTTCCAATTTGTGGTAGATGTGGTCAAAGCTAGAATCAGTAGCTGGAAGAACAACTTCCTATCTTCTGCAGGGAAGGAGGTGTTGGTGAAAAGTGTTTTGAGTGCTTTGCCAGTGTTTGTGATTTC